TTTCAGTACTAAGCCTATTTTGTTATTCTACATGGTGGGAATTGGAGGGTTGGATATTGATTAACTCTAAAACTTTACTATTCAATAGATGTTTGACTAAATGTCTACTGTGTGCTAGGCAATGGGGACACTGAATTTAATATGATAGTTTCGTATTTGCAAGGCATCTAGACACAGAACCCAAACAGAAAATTACAATATCTAACCTGAAAGTAGTCATTCTCAAACATTTATGCTGTGAGAATCACCTAGTCTACATGTAAAAAACCTGATCTATCTCAGGTTTCTTCCCCCTGACCCTGAAACTTTAATTCAGTAGACTTAGGTTAAATCTTGGAAATCCTCCCAAAGATTCTGATTGCAGGTGTTGTTATACCATACCACATTTTGAGAAATAGCAAACACTTTTGTAATATTTTATACCTGTTGTACTATGTTCTACATTCATGCTATATAGTTTATTCTTCTAAACAATGCTTTTCTCCCATTTTACCAATGAAGAAATTGAAGCACCAAATGGTTAAGTTCACTAGCATAGTCTTACAATTTAGTGCTAGAATCAGAGTTCAAATACACACATACCTGTAGGGGCAGGTTTGTGTCTCCTGTGTGTATATGTAAAGCCTCCCAATCATGCAGAGATATGTGAACAACTAATCTTGACCCTCAATTGCTCTCCCATTTCCAGAATCTTCCTGTTAAATTGCTAGCCAATCCACCGGTCTGCTGCTCACCTCATGTGAGACTGTGGCTTCAGACTAACAGAGCTATGTGGTTTCCCCATTTACTTCCTCCCAAGTATGTGATTTTTATTGACAGGACCACTAGGTATGAACTTCTGCCATCCACTCCAAGTGAGGTTAGCTCTTTCTAGAAGTGGAAATCCTGGCTTTCATTGTCGGCCTCACGCTGGTAGCAAGCACTGTTGCACCAACGTGGCTGGAGAATGGGCTGGGCTGGGGAAATAAAAGTAAGTGCTAGCAAGAATGCCAGTCTCCTACCCAAAATTCAGCATGTTTTAAAATAAATGAGTCTCAATTTGTTGTTTGGTTCAATATCCAGAGCTCTCAAATGATTATTTTTGACAATTGTGTCCAGTTTCTGTTTGTTCTGGGGGGAGAGAATTTGATGATATCTTCACTCCAACTTCACTAGAAGTCCCACCTACTAATTTTGTCAGGTCTGGGATTTGGTTTTACCACACTTATTTAATAAATTAACCTGTTACTGTCTAATGGGTGCTGGCAGAAGACAGAATTCCTGGATCAGAGACAAAGGACTTTGTTATTCTTGACACAGCAAGCAGCACATTTGCATTGGTTCCTCTTGCTCACAAGTCCCATGAGGGTGACCTGAAGAGATCCATGTAGGTATTGCACACACACGGGGTTTGTGTCACATCTGAGGAAGACAACTTGAGGAATCCACCACTTTTATAGCAAGCAGTAAGCAAGCCTGTTCTTGGTCCTGGTGGGTGACATTACCTTATATCTGAAGGTTGCTCACTATAAGCACTATGCTGTGAAATGGCTCAGGTAAAGAGCAGCCAGGGTCTTGCATTCTTGGTGTATTCACCAAGAGACAATGGACAACTGTCTCCCAGCTCATTTCATCTAAATATATTAGAATGGAGTTGTTATCTTTTACCTTTTAAATGTCTTATCTGTAGTGATGTTTCCTTTTTTTTTTTTTTTAGTATTGTGTCTTGTATGTCTCTTTTTTCCCCTTAAGTAGTTTCATCAGTAGTTTCTTTTCATTAGTCTTTTCAACGAATCATCTTTGCTCTTGTTGATCCTGTTGGAGTCCCCCCCCCCCGATTTTCTGGTCTTATTTTTGTTATTTCTTTTTATTTGGATTTCACTTTCTGTGTTTTTCTAATGTCTTGGTGTGGATGTTTAGATAGTTGATTCTCTGACTTTGTTTTCTGATATGTGTATCTAAGACTAGAAATTCTGCTCTTACTAGCTTTTAGCTAAGTCCCACAAATACTGCCATGTAGTATTTGGTAACATTCAGATAAAATTTTATGATTTCCATTGTGGTTTATTTTTGACCCATGGATTCTTTTTAAGTGTATTTTTATTTCCAAACATGTAGAGAGGCTTATCTAGTTATCTTTCTGCTTTTGGTTTCAGACTAATGTCTAGGTGATCAGAGAACACATTCTGTATTATTCAAATCTTTTGATTTGTTTTGATTTTGCTTTGTTGAGACTTATTCTATGGCAAAAAAAATATGGACTGATTTTGCTAGTGTCTGATTTTGTTAATGTTCCATGTGTACTTGAAAAGTATATTTTGAAATTGTATTGGATGCCATAATCTATGTATGTCAATCAGGTCTAGTTCATTAATCATGTTCAAATCATTTCTATTCTTACTGATTTATGTGTCTGCAGAGCATATGTTAGATGTCCAGGGAAATGGTAGAGTAACTTAAGAGTTCAAAGGATCGAGACCTTGAAAACACCAGCATTTAATGTCAAGGATTTAAGGGTGTGAAGCAACAGGGAAAATATTTTACATGTCAGAGAAGCCATCTCTTCTCTGATTTAATTAGCACTCCTTTCCACTTTACTCTGCTTTATTCAATTCATTCATTATCAATGAATGGACCTGAAATTTTCTTACTTGTTTACATGTCAGTTGTCTGTCTCCTAGATGAGACTGCAAAATCTCCATGTGTCTTACACTATGTCCCTAGTGTCTTGCATATAGAAAGCACCAAATATTTGTGGCATAAGTTATTAGTGCATTTTCTTGAAATTTATACTTAATAATTTGGGTAGTAAACTTAAGTAATGAAACTCATAACCAATGTAAAATATATTCTTAGAACACATTTATGAAGAACAATGCAAAATTTGGAGCAATTGAAAACATAAAATGAAAAAACTCAAGTGAATTTGCTCTTGACATTAGTGACTTTAGCTTCTTTGGTTCATGGGATGTGGGTGGTGAATGGGGAAATAAATGTTTATCACATTTGCCATTAGTAGTATTGCAGTGAAAAAAAATTGAAAAGCACTGATTTGAAGGGTTGTGAGAGAAACAGGCAAAGGAGACTGAAAGGAGAAATTTACAAGTTTGATAAGAATAAGTCACATGGGGTGGTTGACAATAAGGAAACAGAGTATTTGGAGGAGACAACAGTAAACTGTCAATTGCCAAAGAGAGACTCTCAGGGATATCATCTGAGTTTAGTAACAAGGCCACTATTTACCTGTATAGTTGAAATAGAATTGTTGGAAAGAGGAGTGAGAAGAAACCAGCCATCAGTGGGTAATGAATTGTGAATTGTGTTGCAATGGTGCTTATTAGGGAGTTGCTCTGAGTAATTACTATTTACCTTCAATGGCCCATCCTATTGGATGGGGGTGGAGAAGCAGGAAATAACTCTTAGCTCTACCTGTGGCAGGGAGTAGAGATTGCCTGAGAAAAAAAGAGAAGGGCTGGGGGGCTATTTTTGAACTGGGTTCTTAGGGTATGACTAGGATTGGGAGCCTGAAGTAGATAGGGTAGGATCAAGTATTTGGCCTTATAAGTGTGAATGAAACCTGACAAACCTAGGGGAGGCCTGTATGGCGCCGTTACAAACTCAGACACCTAACATAACCACACACGATGGTCTAAAATTAAAACTTTCTAACTAAAAGCAGGTCATGGCAGAAAGTCACGTCCTGGGCTCGTATCTTTCTTGACAAAGGTCAATCCTTACCTTAACTGAGCCTTACTACTTTTTTTCGTCTATGATAACATACCTATGGAATGTCAGGGTTACTTCCTTTTTCCAGAACCCCGAGGGCACAATCTCCCACAAGAGCCGGGGCCCACAGAGCCCCTCATTGTTATTGTTATTGACTGTTCTATACCCACCTATGTAAAAGAAATATGTGTCTATTCATTTTATTTTTTATTCAGTCTAGAGATTTCCCTGCTTTGCTTTCTCCTGTCTCCCTAATCTATCACCAGTGAATTTCATGTAACACTCTTAGGCCTCATCCCTTGATTGCATTGTATAAAATAAGGTGCAAAACTGCCATTCTCTGGAGCGTTTTCTCAATTCGTTGAGATTTTGCTTCCGGGCAATTGCTGTCGGTTTGGCTCAAACTCATACACTTTTTTAAGTTTGGACGTTTCCTACGTGACATAAGGCTTTTTATGCTGCTTTTACTTGATTGCTTTTTGTTTGTTTGTTTCCTCCGTAATAATCAGTGAATTCCCAATCGGTTTCGCTTGTGGAATAGGAACCTGAGCAAGGTGGCTTTTGGGGGAAGTGGGTGACTAGCTATACATCCCAGGCCAGGGATGGTTGACTGCAGCAACATTCAGTGAGAGAGCCCAAAAGGAAAGGAAATGCCAAGGGAACACCTTGGAGGATTGGGTGGGTAGTCGCTCTACTTCGAGGAAAAGTCTAGGGTCTGTCTCTTTGGGTAAGACAGGCCATTTCCCAGGGGGTCCGGTCGGGGAAGCCTAGACTTTAGTGGGGGCTCAGTGTTGGGCGTGCCCGGAAGACGGAAGCAGCGGTTGCACCCCCCACCTCCACCCCAGTACCCAGTTTGTAAGCAGGAAATACAGTGGAGTTCCACCCTCCCCGCCCCACGTCCCGCCCCACCGGACTTCCCGGACTCCAAGTCCCAGTTTACGGGTTAGGAAAAAAGCCAAAGCGCCAGAAGAATCCATCTTTGCCTGGACAGGAGTCCTCTAGCGTGATTTCCTCTTTTCTACCCTTTTGAATGGCCCCTTTTTTTATTCTGCGCAGAGAGATGCACCCAGGTTATAACCCTGCAGGCCTCAGCGTTGGGGGCGCGGGGGGCCGGGCCTGGGGGGCGGGGCCGGGGGGCGGGGCACGGCCGTCAACCTAGGGTTATACGTGAGCACACATCCTAGGGGTGGGGACTCCGCGGAGTCCCGACTTCCGTGCTCTGTTGGGCGGAGCGCTGGCAGTGGGCGTGGCCACGGGACTTGGGGCTGGTCGAAGACTAGACACTTTTTTTTCTGACGCCCAGGGGAAGGAACCCGCTCAGTGGGAGACGAAGACGAAAAAGCCTGCCTTCCTTACTGGCTAGTAAGGGCGCCGAGGTAAGGAGCAGGTGCCGCCGGGCTCGGGGTGGACTTTGGGGCCGGGAGGCCTCGCTGCTGCCTCAGCTAGCCGGCCCCCGGAGCGGGTTCCTTACTCTGAAGGGAAAATCCACACAACTTTCTACTGTTCTTGTATGTTTCATCTAGACTAGAAAACCCGTTTTTGAAAACAAACCTCCGAGCCATTATGCAAATAGCCCAGCGTCGTAAATGGCGTAAAGGTTCGGCGTGAACCTCCAGCCAGGCACAAAATGCTCAAGGTTTTGGTTTTCTTTTTTGGCTTCTTGTAGAAAAGGTAATTTGGATAAAAATAATTTGGGCTGGCAACTATTTTTCGAGCTAGTGAGCTAGTTTTCGGTATTAGGACCCCTCCAGTTTTTCATGGCAGTAAACTTTAAAAAGGGGGGTCTTTAAAATATATTTTAACACTTTAAATAGTGTGTTGGGTATGAATGGAGTTAAGCAACTCTATATCTCATTTAAGTCCGACAGTATATGAGCCGGAGTAAAATAATGCCTTACTTCCTTCTGAAGCAAAGTAACTGTTACTCATCTCCAGCTGTTTGGAAGTTGAAGTATAAACCACGTTTATACTGATGAATCATTTGCTCTTCATGGTATTTTTAATTTATTCATTGAACAAATACTGATCTGCTGATAAATCTTACCTTTAAATAATCCGTCCCGCGCCCCCTCCCCAAACATCCCTTTCTACGTCCTGCCCATTTCTTTGCTCCCTGTTATTTAAACAACAATAAAACTTCTTTAAACGACTTGCCACGAAGTCTCTATTTCCGTGTTTCCTGTTTCATCCTCTACCCATTCCTCTGGGCTTTTTGTCTTTATCACCCCGTTGTCACTTGTGATATCCAGTATCTATCGGTGCAGTTTTCACTTTAGCTCCCTCCTCCATATTCTTTTCATTTGGCTTCCAGGTCACTTTTCACAGGTCACTCCTGTGTCTGCAGGCTTCTCCTGTTCCCAACCACTAAATGTTAGAGCACCACAGGGCTCAGTTCTTGCCCATATTCTCTTTCTAGCCATACTTTATCTCAACGCAGTTTCTGTCTGAAGCCATATTCCCTGGCTGTGAATAACATCTATAAGCTTGTAACTTCCAAATTGTTATCTCTAGCTTTACTTCTGCTTAACTCCAGATGCGTCCATCCAGCTGTTTACTCATGAACTCCATTTGGAAGTCTAATAGGCATTTAAATTTAGTACAGTCAAGTCTTGGTTCTGGAATGTCTCAGTTCTTGGACAGTTTGGTTCTCGATGAGGTTGTTCACAGAAAAAAATGGTCAAACATGATTACTGATATCACACCCACCCTGTCATCCCCTCCACTTTCCCCTCAGCTACGTTCCTTATCTCAGCAAATGTTAATGCCATTCAACTAGGCTGAGACTCTAGGAATCATCCTTGATGCTTCTTTTTATCTCAGACCCTACATCAAAACACTTAACAATTTTTTTGTCTCTACCTTGAGAAGATATCTCAGATCTAACCACATCTCACTCCCTCTCTCACGCAAACCACAATCTCTCTTACCTAGATAATTGTGAATTCTCTGATTTGTTCTTCTTCCTTCTGCCCTTGTTCCTCTGCAGTCTTTCTACAAAGAGCAGTGACTTTTCTCAAATATAATCAGAACTTTTACTTACCTTCATAACTTTTTGGTGGCCACTTATCACAATCATAAAAACCAAACTCTCACAATGGCTTCAAAGCCCTAAGTGATCTAATCCCTGACTACGCTGATCTCATCTCCTACCTTCTCCCTTGCTTACTTCACTCTAGGGATGCTGATCCTGCTGCTGTTGCCTTTTCCTGCAGTGGGCCTCTGCTAGGACATCACAGGCTATGCACCTTCATTTCCCTCACTTGCCTGGTCAAATGTTTTATCTGCCATAGCCCTGTTTTAACCTTTTTTGTTACTTACCCTCAGGTGTGTCGCTGTCAGATGCTAGTATTCTATGAAGCCCATGGCACCTTTAGAATGTTGTTGGTTGCTAGGACTCTCTAATGTTGAAGTGCACAACAGTTGCTTTCTCGTGAGCCTCATTTTGATAAGATGTACAGTTTGCCCTTAAATGCTGTGCTTTTATACAATGTTCTTCCTGTTTGGGAGATTTGCCCTCCAGTGCCAGTTCTCATTTTTAAATATAGAAAATGAAAGAAAAATGCTATCCAGTCTACCAAAAAGAATATACAATAGGTTTTTTTTTTTTGTTTTTTTGTTTTTTTTTTGCAATTCTTTTGCTCCAGTAGGAAGCAGTGGCCTCTGATTTGGAGACTTCCTGAATGATACCAGTAACAGGTAGTTTAAATGTAAAGAAGAAAAATAAAGTAGAAAATACTGTACAAGTTTTTTAAGTGTAGTGACTAAGCAGTTATCAGAATATCAAGATTTTACAGCAAAATTTAGTTCTCTTTTTAAAATATATGGGAATGGAAATGAAAAAAACGATATTAGTATCTTCAAGAAAAGCCATTGGGGGATAAAAGACTTTAATTTATAATGCTTATTTCTCATTTTAATCCCAAGGCACTTCTTCTATGATGTTATCAGTAGTATATATATTACTCTACCCTGTTCTAGAAGAAAAAAAATTTTTTTTAATTTCAGAATTGAGATGCTTGAATACATGTGTGCAATATAATATTAAAGAAAATTTTAAAATAAGTGGATTTAGAATGGTATCAAAGAGAAGAGTAGGAGGGTTGAAAGGGAAGCCAGGAGTGCATTAGAATGAAAACACCTGTATGCTTCTGTATGCGTGAGCTAGATAGCACTCAGCAGCCTGGAGCTTCCTTGCAACTGAGTCAAGAGACAGGCTTCACAGATGAAAAAGCTGGTACCCAGGAACGGTTTGTGTATTTTTGCTTTTTTATCTGGTAGAGACAGTTGGGGGTGTGTGTGTGTATATGCTTATTCTCAAGTAATTAAATGTTTGCTTGCTGAAGGATCTGTTCTAGATACTATGGAGATGATACTGCTCTATGGTGCTTGTAATTAAGTAGATTATTGGAGGACCCCTGTTTGGTTTAGAGTTAGCAAGCCCAGACTCTTGGAAAATTTGCATACAGATAGGAAATAGGAGGTCAAAGAGTGTTAAATGAGCTCCACCCATCTGGAATGTACAGATTTGGCACATAAGGAATCTACTACCCGGGCATCAAATTAGCTGCCCTCTATTTAAAAGCATAAAACCTAGAAAACAGTTTTCTTATTTACTAAAAAAATAATTTTTTCAGATTCCATTATCATTGTAGGTAAAACATATTATATAGATTATATGTACATTCACACACCTACCAAACACAGATGACCCATGTTACCATTTTGGTGTACCGCTTTCCAATCTATTTTCTCTAGCTTGTTTTACAAAGCTGAGATCATACTAAATATGCTACATTATACTCTACTGTTTTTACGTATTATGGAAGCATTTTCTCATACCATTAAAATTATTCATAATATTCATAAACATTTTTAACAATTTAATAGGATTCAGCATATAAATAATATTACATAGTTTATGTTGCTGCCTTTCTCCAGTTTTTGGACATTCTGATTGTTTACTTTCAGTAGAATTTTGGCTAGCTCATGATACTGTGTACAGCTTCTCTAATAATAAGAAAATATAGTCACATAATTCATACTTCAAAATTGCAGTAAAATGTCTTCATCGATCCTGTGACAGGAGAAAGTGGAGCAAATTGGAGCATCTGGGGAAAAAAGACCCGTGTGCAGGGAGCTAGAGGAACAAAGGGGAGAGAGGCAGGAGATGAAGTTGGAGCTAGGGAGTCAGATAGAGGACAACATTGACCATATTAAGAAATTTTAATTCTAAGAGCAGTAGAGAGCCATTGGTGGGTTGTAAATCTGAGTAACTTGATCAGAAGTATATATTTAAAAACATCGTTTTGACTGCTGAGTGGAGAATGGATTAGACTGACCAGAGTGGATAGGGAAGACCAATTAGAAGCAGTACAGTGGACTAGGGTAGAGATGTTGATCTAGAGTGAAAATGTGGAGAGGGAAAGTGGAGCAATTTGGAAGTTGAATAGACAGGACTTGGTGACAGCTGGCAGTGAAAGTGTAGAAAAGGGAGGGGAAAGTCAACCATGCCTCAGTTTCTGGCTGTCATAACTGGGCAACTGATGATGCTATTTACCTTGATGAAGTACTTTGGGAAAATGAGGTGGAAGCTACTTCCCAAGCTACTGAGTGGTGTGCAGTACATGTTATAAGAGTTGTGAACAGAAGTATTATGGGTGCCCAGGGAGGAGTACTTAACCTGGAGATAAAGAAAATGCTTTCTGACAAATAATGATCCTTGAGCTATGTCTTGAAATGAAGGTACCATATTTATATTCACATAATTCTTAAAAACACAACATAATTGTTAATTAATAACATCCAGCAAGATATACTTTTATTGGCTAGTCCTATTCTGATTGAGTCAATGAATTTATGCAACACAGATGATAAAGAGCTATCTGTTTGGTTATCTCTCTAAACTTAAAAAACTGTCTAGCTTACTATCTACCGGTGGGGGGACAATGAGAAACTAAATGGATAATCATGCACATCATTAATTAATTGTAGTTGTGATTAGTGCCATGAAGGAAAGATAAAGGGTGCTATACTCTTATAGAGCCCATAACTCTAACCTTTCTAATGCAAGCTCTGGTACCTCATGTGAAAAATACAGGAACTGGTTTATTTGGACTATAAATAAGTATCAACAGGTAATATCTGATAATCTTTTATTTATACTGGGCCTTTGCCAGCTCTATGGATTCTGTGCATCCTCCAAAAGAAGAAAATGACAGCTGAGTCTTCTTTAAGTTTTTTTTTGAGAAAGAGAGAGAAGGAAACATATATTGGTTGCCTCCCGTATGTGCCTGCACTGGGAATTGAACCCCCAACCTAGTTATGTGTCCTGACCAGGGATCAGACCTGCAGCTTTTTGGTGTATAGGGCAATGCTC